ACACATATACTTTACTTGGGCGGCGGCGACCGCGGCGCGGGGTCCCGGCGGGACTATGGGAAACGGGATGTGCTCCCGAAAGCAGAAGCGGATCTTCCAGACGCTGCTGCTGCTGACCGTGGTGTTCGGCTTCCTCTACGGCGCGATGCTCTACTACGAGCTGCAGACGCAGCTGCGGAAAGCCGAGGCGGTGGCGCTCAAGTACCAGCAGCACCAGGAGTCCCTCTCCGCCCAGTTACAAGGTACGGTTAACGGGACGCGCGCGGCACGTCGCCAGCTTTGCCCCGCGTCTCCTGCCGCCGCTGGAAAAGTGGCTTCGGGGAGCCGGTAGCACTGCGGGTAGCACCTCTGACCTTAGGGATGTGACCGGAATGTCAGGGGAGGTGACATCCCCATCCTCTCGCTTCTTTCCAGCGGTTACTTTTGAAATTGGTAGCACCGGCTATCGTCCCGCCGGGCCTTTGATGAGCGGTGCACACGGAGCACTTGTCACAGGCCCGGCTGCAGCCTGGCCGCTTCTGCCAGCCCATCCCCGAGGGGCGTGGTTCCGTGGTTTCTAAGGTATTTGCTTTTCGGTGGAGTTCGTCAGTCGCCTAAGAAATGGGGAGTCTGGCAGAGATTTCTTTAACTGCTGTTTTTCAGGGAAAAATTAAGCCGTGACCCAGAAGCCCAAACTAATGGCCCAGTCGAACGGAACCTAGACCTGCTAGTTTCTTATTCTGTTAGTTCAGTTTGGGTGACTTTAGAGATGTTGGTTGTGTCAGAAAAGTCCACACTACTTAACTGTTCACCATCCTGCAGGTATTTTTTTTTTTTTTCCAAAAAAGGCTTATTTGTATTCCTGAGTAGCTTTTAATTAATCACAGAGGTGGGGGAGGGGTGTGCATGTATGTGTGTTTCACAATTAGCCTTGGGAAGTCAGAGAAACACAGTTTTTCACTTTGTTAGACACAGCAAACACAACTTGAACAATACCTATAGAAAGACTTAAAGCTTGTATCCTATTTTAGAAGCTCATTTAATGTAAATTTCAGAAACATAAATGATACATGACTGCAAAGTAAGCACATGTGGTCTTGTTAAGGACATTTTCATCCTGTACATATTTTTCGAAAGCTTTTACTTGAGCTGTACTTGTGGTTAGTTTTCAACACTTACGCATCTTTCTCCCTAACCAAAGAATAATGATAAAAAGCTGTGGGTAGTGAAATGTTCACAGTCTTTGCTGATAATGTAAATATAGTTTATTTCATATTACTAGGCAGATAAAAGCTGGAGGGATGTTTCTGTCTGTGTATGTGTATCCAAAATAAAACAGACGCTTTTCCCTTGCTCCAGAATTTCTTCCAGTAAAAAAAATTTAACATGAGAGAAAATGATACACAGCTGATTGCTTGGTCTTATTTGCTCTTCCCAACTTAGAAGAAAGGAAAGTATTTTTAGCTTACTGAAGCTGCATAGCCACAGGCAATGAAAATATGCAGCTGGGCTTAGTTTGAAAGGAAAACCTGTTTTGGTACACTCTTAGATTCAAAAAAGATTTCTTTTAAACTTGTTGAAATTTACCCATGAGTTATTGTTTGTATGAGAATCGTAGATATTTATTTAAAAGTTATGAACAGCTTCCCTGTGAAGTTCAGTGCAATCAGACTAAGGGAAATATTTGCTATCTGTTAGTACTCCAGGGCTGGAATTTCACAAACGTGGCTTGAGGGGACGTGTATGATGGGTTACATGAGGTTGTGCACCTTAGTCTCTTATTTGAGACCCACGAAGGCAACGGCTTCATTTTCGCCATACATCCTCAGCACCACACAGTGCCTGACACTCAGGAAGGGAATCAATACACGCTTATTCAAACAATAAACAAAAATTATTCTGAACCTTGGTGAGAAAATTACTCTCAACACTTTTGTCTGCTTTCTTCGGTTTTACATCTGTGTCTCTGCTTTTTGAAAACCAAAACAAAGCAACAATAACAAAATATTTTGCCCAAGTAGTTCCTTTCCCTCAACTGCTGGTGCTGGAACTTGTTGACTGAGGCCTTAAATTCTGAATCATGGCCTTTATTTGCAGTATTCCATTTTGAAAATCAGTCTCTTTTCTCCTTTAATTTGCCTTCTTTTGGTGGTAGTAGTGGGGATGAGGGGTGGTAAATGGTAATACAGCATCATTAAATGCACAGCATTTGCTTTGCAGCATGAATAAAAATGTTTTATCTAGTTTGAATGAGTGGCCTTAACGTCCATTTCTTAATTTACTCTTTTGCCATTTCCTCTAGACTTGTGATGCTGCAATACTTACAATATGATTATGTATGAAGAATTATTTCACAAGCAGGCTAAAGTTTCTTGATTTTTAATGGGTTCACTATTTACTTCTGAAACATTTATTTTGGATTTCACATCTGCAGGCCATTTAATGATCATTTCCTGACGGTATGCAGGTTTTGCTTCCCTTTTCCAATGACAAATGACATTATACTCAGTAGCAATGTGTACCACCTCTATACATGGATTTTTAGGGCATCAGACTCTCTATTCTTTTTTTTTTTTCCTTTTTGTCTTTTTTACTGACCGGTAACGGGATCGCAACCCTCAGTGTTGCGTCCGCACCGCGCTCAGCCAGTGAGCGGGAATCGGTCTCCACATGGGATCTGAACCCTCGGTGGGAGCGCCACCGCGCTCGGAGTGCGCCACCGGGCCGGCCCAGACTCTCTATTCTTAAGACTTGTTTAGTGAGGTGGGATCTCTTGACCTGGCTTGGATTAAGATCAGAGTTAATTAGGAGTGGCCTTCTTTTAAAAAAATGACTCAAAAAAAATTTAAGTAGTTTGGTCCTATAATCTGATAGTATACATTTGTTGAGCAAGCATATTTAGGTCGTCTTCAGTTTAAGAATGGATTATACTCCAGAGATTCCCTTGCAACTGGGTTACTTCTAACCCCAAATGCATTTTATTGTAGCACAGTCCCATAAATAGGAGATGGTGGGAGATGATATGGGGAAAGTTCAGAGACTAGGCAACCCACCTGTCCACTAAAAACAATGTCTGTATCTGCTTGTCTATCTGTCCACCTATCTACTTACCTATTTATGTATCTACCTACCTATCTATCATCTATGTATCTATTTCCCATACTGGAACCTAAATTATACTGAGAAGTGGGGCAGAGGTCACATACTGGTGGCAGGGGTAGTAACAACCTTTGGTCAACACAGTGGTTACTTAACCTTTAAACATTTTTCAACTGCTTTCAAGTGAGCCATGCACCATTCTCTGTATCCATAAGCACTGTTTCTTGGTCTGGACTGCTCTTTAGAATCACCTGGATGGCTCACAGACCAATTAAATCAAAATCTATGGGGATGGAACCCAGGCTTCAAGTCTTTAAAGCTCCCCAGGTTATTCCAATATGCAGCCAAGGTGGAGAACCACAGCTCTATCTATAATCCTAAGACTGAGCCACTTTACACATATACTTTACTTGCTTGGCCCCAAAGACGTGAGTCTTTTTATCGCCAGCATGTGAATAAAAGCAGACTGGTTTCTAGACTGTGATTCAAATTCTAGTTCTGCAACTTTTTGTGTGAACTTGGGCCTCACTTTTCTTATTTGTAAAATGGAAGTTAGAATGACCTATTTCATAGGGGGAGTGTGAGGACGAAATAAGATCAGATCTGTAGAACTCTCAGCACATAGCTGGTACACAGTAGGTACCGCTCATTGAAGATTAGCTGTTATTATCATGAGAGTTCCTGTTTGAGGTAAGATATTTCATCTCTCTCTCTTCCAAGGTTTGTCATAGCTCTAATTTTGAAATTGACAGAATTTGTTTTTATAGTTAGCCACCTCTTGTTATTATACCTAAATAAACATCAAGGAAAATAGATAAACTGGCATAAGTCCAGTGTACTTTATTCTAGAGAAGAGACCATCCTTAACAGTTTAAACTTAGAGTATGGTTACTAATTAATTCTCTTCTGGATCATATTAGATTAGAAGAGGGTGCCACTGCTAAGTTAATAACTATATGCAATAAGGTCTGCGAGAGAGATATAACTATTTAAGTTTTTTAAAAAAGGCATTTAATATATTAAATATTAATATTTAATAAAGGCATTCAATAATTTTAAAAGGCATATAATATGTTAATATTTAATATAGGGACAAAGAGCCCCACATTCCTAAAACAGTGTATTACAGTTTTGCAGCACTTTTGGTCTTCACATGATGACTAGAAACCATCAAGAAAAAGCTTATCAAATGTTTTAGACACTCCTATTCCAGATAAGTATGTTACAACTATTTAAATAAAAATGTTTGGCGCTTCTAAGGGCCACATTTGTCATTTAAGTTGGTTGTCCTTTGCATTGGGCTCCCCTAACACTTAGGATGGCTCACTAGTCTAGGCATGAATACATCCTGTTGTACTTGGTTACTTTGTTTTCAACCTCCCCCAAATGTGTGTGTTTGTGGTTTTTTGTTTGTTTGTTTAAGTCTTCTTCAGCTCAGACAAGGCTTTTTTTATTCTTTCATCTCCAGTGCCTGATCCTGGCATATAATAAGTAGGTGCTCCATAAATAGCAAATCTGTATCAATGTAGTATTTTCTCTCTGCCTTGCCTATGAATGGGCTTATATATGATGGGCAGTGAAATATAGTGGATATGAACTGAAGAGTCAGAACACTTGGATTTGATTTCCTGCTGTCTTTTTTTACTAGCTGTGTGATCTCGGACAAGTTATTCAACTTCCCTGTGACTCTATTTCGTCCTGTGACTCTATTATTGGGATAATAGTGATTATAATAAGGTGTCATGAGGATCCATAATGTTAGCTGGCATACAGTGCTTAGAAGGGTGTAGCTTGCATTTTCATTTCTCGGTGAAGAATTCTGTTAAATATGTATGATTTGCACAAGAATCTACAACTCATTCCACAGATTGTGCCTGCCTTTGCCATCCCTGTAAAGTGGAACATGCCAACTCTGTAATGAGAGTACTGGTGTCTGAGTAAATATTGGTTGACCATGTAAGAGAAGTGTTCATTATCTGGGAGCCTTTAGTTTAAGTCTGAGGTAGATTGGAAGCCTTACCTTGACTTTTTAAATTCTTTCCTGTCTTAGCAAAGACAATTTCCTGTAGGGCTAGGGCACAAGACCAGATTTCAGTGTTTGAAGGAATAAATGAATTAGAATTGGGGAAATGAAGATGGACTGAAGATGGTATGGATCAAAAAG